CTAAAGTTCTTGAAAATCAATTACCTTGCATAAACGGCACAAATCGACACAAAAATTCTCCAAAAATCCATCGTTTATCATAATAGTGGTACGCTGTTGGTGGTAAACAAACAATTGTTGCAATTAAATCCGAAGCAGCTAAATTCAGTAAAAATCGATGTGTTAATGTTCGCATTCGTCGACATTTAATAATAACAAATATGACAAATATATTTCCAATAATTCCAATAAGAAACGTAATGGCATAGAGCAAAAATAGAAAAAATGAAAAATATATAGGCCTTGAAGTTTGAAAATGTTTCCAAATAAAAGCACTATTGTTTTTATCGAGTTGCATTACTATTTCAGACGAATATATTATGTACTAAAAAAGAACAGAAAAGCTTTTAATAGAGTATCAATTCTTTTCGTAAGTTTTCAATTTAAAATAATTTTTTCTAATTCTGACAGATGACTAAATCAATTGAAAAATTGCTATTTTGTAAGAGACATCAAAGGTCAAATGTTATTCTTCTCAAAATTCGATGAAATATTTATCATATGATTGATCAAACTTGATCAAAAATATTGTCAGAACGTTTTCAGCTCTTAGAACTACTGAATGGCAAGACTAGCATGTTGCAAACAACGTATGATAACCTCACCATCAGCAGATACTACATATGTACGCTTAATAATTTATCTTAATAAACTGAGCATTTTTCGTATAGAATACACACCTTGATGGTATAACCATCTGTAGTTATAAAGATCGTATGTAAAGTCACTTTTATTCAACTTTTTTTAGTCACACATACCTGTAAAACTGAATGTAGATAGATGGATAAACAAGATTTCACAAACTGGTATCGTCATCTTCACAAAGAAAGAGAAAAAATATGAGATCGAAAGTTGTAACATAAAAAACATTCAAAAAAATCGTGTAGTAAAAAATGAGGAAAAAAGTGTAAATTACGGAAATGTGATGATTCAAAACCGTGCACAGTATATCCGTAAAATAAAACTCGTAACAGAATAACTGTGAAGAGAAAAGATAGAAATTGATAAGTATAGAAGAAAATTTTAAAGAAAATTTCATGAACATTGAAGTGATTCATCTCTTTTTTTTTTGTCTGCATCAGTTTCAACATTATCTTGACGAAGAAGTAGCTGATCTAACGACTGATACTGAGAATTAGTATCATGATTCGAGACATATTCGTGGTAATCGTAGAGGCCATTTGGTGAATGGAAAAAGTTTTGTTAGCTAGTTAGTCTAAATTAGATAACGTAGAGCGCTACACTGATGTGCATATTATTTTCCGTCACAACTTTTATGTGAAAAAACGCATTTACTAAAAAATTCGTTCACAAAAAAGAATGAACGAAAATGTGAAAAAAAAAAGCATGAAGAATATTGGTAGGAAAAATAGTATAGGAAAATGGCATTGAAAATTTGTGAACAAAAAACGTTAGAATTTCTACGCTTTTCTTTTGCCGCCTAATCATCAACTCTTTTGATGATATTAACTACGTGTAGTAAACAATATATAATTAGAGAATTTTGAAAACTAATATAGAAAAAAAACGTTTGAATAATTGATTTTCTTAAAATAAAAATATTAAAGATATCTTGAAAAAAATGTTTGAAAATTAATTTAACTAAAAAAATGTTCTATTATCTTGTGGGCACACATGTAAAAATTTGTTAACTTTATTCATTATTTATGAGAATGAGAAAGCGTTCTTTCTCATAGAAAATCGAGGTAAAAATTGAAAATAATGAGAAAAGAAACCTTTGTAGGATAATATAAAAAGGAAACTGAAGAAAAATTGTTTTACCATTGATGATTAGTGTTAAAAATAATCGTTTCTTTTTTTATTATCAAATCTAATTTAATATAGTACGTTACAACGTAATATAATTGTTAACTTTGTCATATGAATAGTTGTAGAGAAAAAAACTGGATTAAACTCGAATAAATTGTATCAAATTAAAATTTTTAAATAAAAATAACTAATTTTTTAGATGTTCTTACAATTCTACATTATTACACTATCAAAATGAGAAATTTATAAATAGAATGAATATAAGTTTTAGATCTTTCACACTTGAGTATACTCAATCATTTGAACAGATTGCTGGGCTGGGATCATCCTCTATATTTTTCAAAAGAAAAATTTTTTTTTTATATTGTCACAATATATCTTCAATTTTTGAATGGTCTCGCACGAGCATTAAAATGAATTTTTAATGAATATAAACATATTTTCTGTTATTTTTTCTTATCGGAAGTTGTTGAACAACAATGAGAGAAAAAATAATTGAAAGAAAATCAATTAACAGTATGTAAATTCTAAAGTTAAAATTTACATTATAAAAATAATAAGCGATTTTCCTTACATCTGTTTTTCTATTAGATCCACACGTGCCCTACGGGCGAAGAGTTAGTCCGTTAAAGAACTAGATTTTATTTCTTAAATTCAGTTAGCAAAAATTTCACTATGAATGTATTATTGGTTAAATATTTTGTATATGTATCGAAAGAAATATCAAAAAAGAAAATGATCAATGTGTTTTTTCTTAGTCTTGATAGGTTTCGTAAATGAATTATCACAAAAATTTAACAGAGAAGAAAACACATATGGATATAAAATGATACTTGAATCTCGTCTAAGTCCTTGGAATAATCGATAAATCATAAAAATACATATATAAATTTAAAAAGCAAATAAAATTTTTATTGTGACTAAATGCTTTAAGTCACTGTAAACAATCTATTTAAGTTTACTTACGAAGATCCGGTATCAGTAAAAAATATAAAATTGTTGCTTAACTTCATCCTGAAAGAATGAGTATTAGACGAACGTGTTTAAACATAATTATATGTCTTAATTTAGAATTTTGAACATAAATATAAAATTTTCAAGGTTATGCGACGAATATTGATGTTACACGGCAGTATATAAAAAGAAAATGTTAGAAAAAATGTAGTATTCTATTATTAAATCATAAATAGTATAAGAAAAAAATGAATAAACGAATAAAAAAATCACAATCAAAGAATGAGCTTTTCTGTAAAATAGTGTAACATTTTCTCTTTTTTTTTTTTATACTAGATCAAGTGAATTGATGAAAGTAGGCATTATTCTTCTTTTATAGTAGACAATGACGGGAAATACATTTCACAAATAGTGGAGATAATGTCAGTTTGATAAAACAAAAGAAAGTAGAGAGGAAATAAGATAAAATAGTTAATAGAATGATGATAATAAGTGAAAGAGAAACAACATATTAGACTTTTAATGTTGACTTTTTTTCTGTCAAACTAATAGATAGACATATAAATTTATCGTATGATCAGAAGAATATTAATAGTCTAAATAAATCGTGATTTTCATATTACTTTTATACTATTTAGATTAATTTCAGCTTCTTAAATGGGAAAAACTTTCCGCTCTGAGATTCATATTAATCTTAAGCGTATAGTCATATGTGTCTGACGAATAATGATAGATATAGATATTTAATTGTGATTAAACATTAAAAGTATACCTGATAATTCGAGTAAGGTGAAATTTTAAGTATAAATTAAAACATTAACAAAAACAATATCGAAATTGGTACAACTTTTAATGTGCTTTATAGTCAAATGTTTAACAGAAAATAGACATGCATGAACAATATTCCGACACGCAATCAAAATAAATCGGAAATAGAAACATGCTTACTATTAGGATATTGGAAATTGTTTGTATATTTTATTGTGTAAAAAAACGATGAGAGCATATTTGAATGTATACTAACACATACTTGTTATTTTTAATTCATTGCTTTCTTGCAACAGATATTCTATCGTCGTCAATGAAATAATGTAACAGCTTGTGTTCTAAAAAGCATTTTTCTTTCTTTTTTTGCTTAGTACAGACTTGGCACTACCGGTTTGTATCTCTATTGTTAACAACATCAATCAAATTATAGTTTATATTAAAAGTGGATGAATTGGAGATAATGATAACTTGTTCTAAGCTGTCAAGTGCATAGAGTATCATTAACTGATAAAGATATTCTCTCTCCAATCACGATTATTTTCTATAATTGAGATTAATGACAATGACATACGCAGTTCTGAAACAGATGATGGTATACTGTTTATTGTAATTTGAAATAAAAATAAAAATAATTCTAATTTATTAGTTTATTAGACTTCAGAATCAGACTTGAGACTGACTCAATGTTCTTTGGTAATAATGTAATTATAGTATAGAATTAGAAACAAGAAGTGTAATAACTGCAATGGAATTAATGCAAGAGAGAAACTTATCGATTGCATATGATCAATCAAAGAGAGGGCATAATCTTCTATGTTATATTTGGCAATTGTTTTTTGTTTAGATAGACTTTCTATATAGGAAGAAATTTGACATCATCTAAAAGCTATTCAAACATAAAGTACTTTTAAAAATTATAATTATGTTAAGTTCTCAATTTTTGAAGACAAATTCTATAAGACGATGTTCCTAGATGGTATGGATTTAGTTCTAGTTCGACAACATCAGTCATCATCTACCGCCTTAATAAAACTACATTTTCTTCTACATGTATCTACAAAAAAAAGTTTTTTTTCTGTAGAATCGTACTGTCTAATCTTTTAAGCTCATCACTGTTGCTCGGCTGCGCTTTCAAAACAAACATGTATGTATGCTTTCGTAACCAAATGTATAAGGAACAGAAAAAAATTTGATGGTGACATGAGAAAGCATCACACTACACCATTACTAGTAATTTACAACAACAACGAACTTTTTACATGTATGTATCAAAGACAGCGAAGCTATTACTGAAATAAATACTCCATTACTTTTAGTTAAATTATTGTTGTCAATTATCAGACAACAAAGCAGAGAAAATTCCTATCATTTTGAAAACATTTGTGTTCATTTGAACCTAGTAATTTTCCATTATGGCTGATATTGAACGACCACGAACAAGCAGCAGATTTGGTCAGTTGAGTAAGAACATGTTCTTTGCTCGACATGTGGCACAACCACGACATCTTAAATTTATCACAGGTATGAGAATAAAGAACGTTAATTCGTTTTCATACAACATATTATCAGTTGCTTATTATCCAATATTTATCAGGAACCGCAGGAATGCAAGTATGTTGTGTACGAGACGATGTTGTTCCATACCCTTCAAAGTCAACAGTTGATCCTGCCAAATCAATTTTATCAGATCCTCGACTAATCATAGATTTTCCACCTAATAGTTATAATGAAGCTTTACTTCAAGCATATACCGAACGAATACAACCAAAAAAGCGTCGTGAAAGGTTACTGCCACCAATACCTGGATGGACTGCAAGTGGAATGGTAAAGTAACTTCTTTTTCCTATTATTAAGTGAATAATTATTTTTTTTTCTTTTACTTTCAGGTTAGTAAGTATTCTCCTATTTTTCTATGTTAAACTTAGATGATTATTGCATGTAAGTGACACATTAAAAGAAACAATTACTTAAATTATTTAGAAAATTAATAGAGTACATCTCATTTATTTGTTCACTATTTCTTAAGTGAAACCATCTGTTTCTATATTTGGCAGTTGAAGACACAGAAAATTGGCGAAAAGAATTAGCTCATATTGCAGAAACTGTTGGACTATTAACAGAAGATGAAATGTGTGATATTCAAAATCGGAAAGAAAACAAAGATTTGTTTCACAGTAATAGTAGTTTACTATTGGATATAACGAACAGTAATAATCAGCAACAGGTGCGTAATAGTCCAAATAAAAATGGTAGTACAACAACACCTCCAAAATCAGCTGGTCAATATAGTCGCAACACAGGACGATGGAATGAAACACCAAGAACATTAAGTCGAGCAAGAACTTCATTATCTCGGCAACGTACAGCACTATCGTCGTTAGTTCCAAATCATTTGTTTTGTGTAGATGAAAATGAGCGAGAAATGTGGGTAAGTTGAGAATCGTCTGAGAAAAATGCATATACATTAGTAATCATATTAATTAGATGCTTCAAGTTTTATGCCAAATACTTCAAACAGAAAATCTTGCTGATATTCAGTCTTGGCTCGTGTCATCAGGTCCAACAGGTCAGTTTTCGTTGATCACTCAGTGTAATAGAACTTACTGGTGTTTTTATTCTATTTGAAGAAAAAGAAGCTGTTCGTCAACTCATTACAACGGCGTTGAAAGGATTAGAAGACAACGGTCGTATACAACCAACAGCTTACTTCGATCATAATACAAAAGCCATTCAAGTAAACATGGATTCATTATCATCACTAGCTGCTCACAGGTAATATATTCATCTTCAATTAACATATTCTTCTACTAAATCTCCTATTCAGATTTCCACACGTTTCATCAAATCAAGCATTGTCACCGTCACAAACATGTGAAAATGGTTCTGAAAAACAACAAATACAACGTCCAAAAACAGCTCCTCAATCCTGCTCTCATGGTAGTAAAAACGAACGCGAAGTTCAAAATCAATCACGTTTATTCAAAACAAATCTAGTACCAATTCAAGAGTCAACAATTGAAAATGAGGAACAATCATCAAAAATACAATGTCAGAGTTTATCAAAAGATCAAAAGGAATTATGTCCATCAGTGATACGAGACGATAAGAAAGATGTTCAGATTTTACGATTAGATGATCACGATGAGCCTAGAAAAGCACCATTTTGACCAAAGTTCATCTAACTATTTATTTTTCTTTGATAATTGTCATACATGCACTGAACAATAAAACGCTATTTTTTTTAAATGAGGTGAACATTCGATATATTTTGTTAATGTGAAAATGCAGTTCTTCCTCGTACATCTATATGTCAACAATCAGTTTGTTGACGTTTGAAAAATTTATTAAAAAGATAATTGAAAAATGCAAAAAACAAGGGAACCATTGCTGTCAGAAAGTTGTGGATAATAATCTCATTTGTTTTTTATATAAGAGAATAAAAATTTCAAGTGAAATATAAACTAATCGTTAAACACATGCACGTTTTCTACTTGTTTTCGTCTACTGATAATTCTCATATGTTCTTCGTAATATTGTATTATTACTGTCTAAAGTTCAACAATCCTAATGTTTTTATTGGAGTAATTCCTTTCGAAGCGAGCTGATTTATACAAGATCCTATACGGAAAACGAACGGTTTGGTCACATAACTCTGTTACCTCAGTTTTTTAGATACATTTGAAAAGTAGCAGTTTGCATTTTTGCCATATTTTCTAACAAAAGAACTTGTAGAGTGTGGGAAAATCTTAGAATATTCAACACATTTTTCTCTTTAGTACGTTGCAGAGCTCTGGACATGGCCTCATTTCAGAATTATAGAGAAAGCAAAATCCAAAAAAACGTAATCGAATGATGTTAAGATAACAGTGCTACATTATACCACCAAGCCATGGAAAGTCTCATTAGGCGAAAAAATTTCCTAAAAACATCGGTATAGTCGAAGAACATATTAAAAGACATTAAGTTGTCTTAGACAGGTCTATGATCAATCCTTTCGCATCTTCTCATCGATCTTATTTATTTCGCTTCGATGTCTTTTAGTTAGTATAAGCTTATATGATTTTTCACGCACTTTTACCCCGTATTTTCACGGGGCTGACCGCTAGTTTTCGGGCTGAAAAGTCCATACTTACATATTTCACGGACCTTACTCAATGATGGAAGTCTTAGTCTGGAACGAACTTTTTTTTGATTCACAGAAAAGTACGCGACAAAAACCACGAACTCGTCTTTATTCAAATTTTAGTGAGGAGAAAGAGAAGAAGAACGCCCAATAAAAGTTAGCTGGTATAATAACGCCGCCCAAAATCGTCCTGCTCGATTGACAAGTCGATTGGCTGGACTTACTAGTTAAAGATCTAGATGGCGTCTATATTCAGTCGGAATCCATTTTATGAAATCATTTTTGTCTTAGCGCTCAGTGAAAAATGACTTTTTTTTAAAGATTCAATTCATTTACAACCAAAGAACCAAGTGTTCTTCACTTAAACTCTTTTAAATTAGCTGAAACTATTTTTCTTATTTTCGCCATTCTAGTGACAAGAAACCTCCACATCGTGTTGAAATTAGAGACTATTGGAAATTGATCTTGAGAAGTTTTCCATTCAGTCTATTGTACTTGAATCAGCGAAGCGTTCCCAAATGGGTTAAGGCTCACAGTAAGGCAGTAGGGGATTTAGAAAGCTTTCGGGAAGGTATATTTTTCCGTAAACGTTTTCGTAGCAAGAGCAAGCAAACAGGGAAATATTTTTTTTGAGTTTAATTCGCGGATATAAAATATGAGCTCAAGCTCCACGAATTCGAGGTTTTCATTTTTGACCTTCGAGTAAAGAGGCCAAAAATGAAGAAAAGGTTTTCGCTAGACTAATCGAAGAAAAACATATTTTTTTTGAAAAACGTGGTATATCTATATGATTAGAAGGATTACTTCACTATTTTGAATAAAAGGCAATTTACATTTCGAGGCTTTTTGGTGTCCCTGATGCCAAAAAGTTAGCATTTTGTACTTAACCCGATTCAGTCCTCTATCATCACCAGCGTCTAATGAGAATTTTTCTAATGAGAATTCTCAGTAGCGCGTATACAAGTGTGGTAATTCCTGGATTTTGTCGTTCTATCTTTTTCTGTTGGTTGATACAGAGCGTATTTTCAATTTAGCACGCTTTGAAACGAAGGCCTACGCGTACTGTTAGAAACACTGATCATCACCGCATATATCTCGTATCAGTCTCTGTGTTTAAGATCACTAAAAAAAGCAGAGTTTTATTAAAATTGTAGAAATACTTTTTTCGCCTTTTCTTCAGATAAATAGGGCCTTTCTGTCAACGTATCCAAGTTTTATGTATCAAGTAACAGAGTGGTACATTCAAAATCCTACATCAGAACGGGTAAGGCTTAGCCTAACAGTGGCAAATCCAGCCCAGTCTAGTGGCTCCGCCGCCTCTGGAAATCAGGTACGCTTGATGAGAAGAACATTGACATACAGAAAAACAGTCTGTTTTATCTAGTATGAGTTTTTATTTTAAGTTCAAGGCATATCAAGATAAAGTCTCAAGGAGTGGGCACGTACTTGTTTAATCCCCCCCCCTCTGATTACTGTTCCTGTCGACAATTAAGAAATACAGACGAAAATTCTATTCCACAGTTAATACCTAGAAAGAAATACGACTTTCTTTTCGATAACTAATTCATTTCATTTTTGAATATGTTGTTGTTTGTATAATAAGTAGTGCTGCTTGTATTATGGTTTATGGTTTATGGTCTGGAGATTCACTGCATCTGGTGCAATGGTGAAATTCTCAAATCTGAGTTCAAAAAATCAAAGTTTCTATTTTCAAAAGCATTTCTTCCGCTCAAGAGCCGTAACAGAGAGAGTCGCTCAGGACATTACTTGACAGCTGTACTTTTGCACCAGAATATAGCGGACTCTGCGACTTTCGCTGTTACGGCTTTTGAGCGGAAGAAATACTTTTGGAAATAGAATCTTTCATCTTTTGAACTCAGATTGGAGAATTTTATCCAATAAATTTACAACATCTGTATATTCATATCACAAAATCGAAAAATTTTAAAAGCTTATTCTGTCAAAATCGATTGCAGATTCGTCTCCATAGTCGATTAGCTTGTACACGATAACTTTTATTGATCGAGATACTTCACAAAAAATTTTCGACATCGTTCTGCCGTTGAAAAAATTTTTAAAATTATTCGATTCGATGATATGTTTAGCAGTTCCTTTTATTAATGTTTGTTTTTGCTTGCGTTTGCAATGTGAATGGTAAAACTTTATGACATTTCTTTTGAAGTTAGAAAATTGTTTTCTGTTTTAGATATGATTTTATCCGACGAAGTTATTTATGTCATCCTTTTATTAATATCTATTCCGCTTGGTTATCTGTTCAAAGACTCAAAACACGCCAATTTTAAAGCGTCTTCCTCTGCTTTAATTGGTTTTTTATTTGCCATAATCGTGTGCAGATGGGATGTAATTCATTCTTTAATTACAATATTGATTACATGTTTTATACTAGCTAGTGTAACGGCTCGGTAAGCACTAACGTTATTTGTTTATCTTTTTTGCTTAATCTTTGTTTTATAGATACGTTCATTTGGTAACTTTTGTTTGGTGTTTTACGTATTTATTATTTTTTCGTACAACATACTTATTTTCAATTCGCCCTCCAGTTTCACATAGTAATGCCATACAACTGATGCTCACATTGAAAGTAAGTCACTACTCTCGATTGAAGACGGAAAATCAAAATATTTTTTCGTTTTCTTTAAGCTTGTCGGCGTAGCATTCGAAATACATGACACCTACATGCGTAGTAGAAAAATACGTTTACAAATAAAAGAGAAATCAACAGCTGATCAATATGAAGTCCCAAATGAAGAACATGAAAAGTTACATCTACAAGATCTTTATTTATCTGTCCGACCATCAACTTTGAGAATTATTCAATACTCCTACTGTTACATTGGGTTATTAACAGGTGATGCACACAAAATTATAAATTAAAAAAGCGGTAATTACACTTAAAAGTAGACGTGCATAAAAATAAAAAAATTTATATGCATAAAAAAACACAAATACTTCAGTCGATCATATATTTTCCATTTAAAAGGAGGAGGGGCTTAGCACGAGAAAATAATTGTAAAAAATATTGTTCGAAATAATGAAGTTTATGGGAAGTGTTGTATTTCAGGTCCTTATTACCGTTACCGTTCATATCAAGATTGGCTAGATATGAAAGCGGGTAGCCACATAAATGCTCTATGGTTTATCAAAAAACGTGGCATATTTGGCTCTATTTATATTCTGACATATTTATTATTATCAACATTAGTCTCCTTCAAGGTATTACGCCAATAATTCTTCTTATTTTCAATTTTTTTGCTTTTCGTTTCTGTATGATAGGATGCAACCCATGACAGTTTTTATGATAATCCGTTATGGTATCGTTTAGTTTACATGTCATTGATATTTACGTTATTTCGTTGTCGTTTTTATTCGGCTTGGTTATTAGCCGAATCTATGTGTATTACTTCATCGTTTGGTGCCTATCCATTAAAAAGTAAACCTAAACCAGGTATGATATTGTCACTTTAGAAAAAAATCGGAAAACTTATATGTCTCTTCTCATTTTATTCAAAGGACAAGGACCCACCGATCTTATGGCATTGAAACAAGCGTAGGTTATGCTTGTGAAAACTTTTCTTGTTTTATTCCATCGTTTTCATATAAAAAAAGTTTTAGTATTTTTTTAAAAGTGAATAATCGAATGTTTCCTTTCAGTCGGAACATTGAAAAGTCATGTATCAGCTTCAAATTCCTTAAAAAGAAATGAAGTATATTTTATCCTTCTCATTATTCTAGGTACGAGTTAGCGCCAAACAATATTGAATACGATTTTGAAACAGTTCATAATATTGATGACTACATGTGTGAAACAGCTTTAACAGTTCGAGAAGTGTTACGTTATTGGAATATGACTGTACAATATTGGATGGCAACCTATGTGTATAGAAGAATTAAATGGAAAAAATTTGGGTACAGCTATCTTATCTTAAGCTATTTTGGCTTTTTTTACTTATTAAAATATTTTAGTCAACCAATTACAATGGGTGTCAGTGCATTTTGGCATGGAATTCATGGCGGTTACTACTTGTCAATGTTGACAACAACTCCTTGTATCATGACTGAAAATGTGATGGAAGCTGCTGTTAGACGTCGTCTTCAGAATCGAACTTATATACGTATTTACGACTTTTTCTCGTGGGTATTTCGTACACGCCAATTTGATTATATGAGGTAAAGAAACGTTGTATGTATGTGGTAAATAGTTAGAGTAATAAGTTTTCTCTCATTTTAGTATGGGTTTTATTTTATTGCGTTTTGATCTGACTATAAGATATTGGAAATCAGTTTATTTTATTGGTCATATTGCGTGTTTAGTACTTTATAGTGTTGGTATGATATTACTACGCTTAAGACCAAAATCAAAACATACAAAAGTTCAACAAGATATGGGCATTGGTCAGCAGCCAAAAGCATCCTCAGAACAACATGGGAGATTATTGAAAGAAGAAAACAAGACATTTTAGCTATCAATGTTGTTTTTTTATTTTTCTTTAAGACATTTTTTCACAGTATTTTTGCATTTTTTTGCATGCCTGCCTTTTTTTATAAATAAAAATTTATGTGAGCACATGCAGACTATTGAAAACTAGATATTTAGCGAAACAAAGTTTCACGAGAACTACTGAGAACTGGTGAGTGAGGAGAAGAATTGGGAAATTAGCTAAAACGCTCAAATAACGATTGACTTAGTGAAATTTCCGTTTTTGGTATTTTTACTGTAACGCACTATTCCAATGGGTTAAAGAGCTGAAACTCGCAGTAATATTAGTCCTAAGCAAAGTCCGTATTCTGCAAAATTTTCTAACCTTAGTTTTATGTCCTTTGTGAGAAATCTGATTTTCTGCTTTTCATAGGGTTTCTGTACCGCCTTGCAACCTGAATATGAAATAATTGTCTTTTTCGTTTTCAAGTTTGCTTTGATACTCATAAGTTGATAAAATCATTTATTATCTGTATTAGAGTGCTTTTTAAGTGTTTGCGCTATTGAATTACACGATTAGGGTTTTTTTCCATATTCAGATCGCAAGGCGGTACAGAAACCCTATGAAAAGCAGAAAATCAGATTTCTCACAAAGGACATAAAGCTAAGGTCAGAAAATTTTGCAGCATACGGGTTTTGCTTAGCACTAATATTGCTGTGAGTTTCAGCTCTTTAACCCATTGGAATAGTGCGTTACAGTGGAAATACCCAAAACGGAAATTTCACTAACGAGGAACTTCGCAAGGTGATAAATCGCTTTTTGATCGAAATCTAGTGAGTTATAGGTTATCGACCATGCTGATTCCGAGTATGACCATGGGGATTGCCCATAGCCCTTCAAAGATCCGGTCTTCTGGAAAACCAGTTTTCTAGAAACTCTATAGAGTAACCCAAACCTTTCTTAACAATACAGAATTGGAGCCCGCAAATTTCTGATTAAAATGAGACATATCCCAGCTCTACACGACCTTTCTTTGCAAAGTTACAGAATCTATAACAAAAGCCCTAAATTGTTGATTGTTAGCTCAAAGCTACAGAAATAATTAATTTAGGGTTCTTCTTATAAATTCTATAAGTTTGCAAAGAAAGGTCGTATAGAGCTTGAGGACCTCTCATTTTAATCAGAAATTTGTGGACTCCAGTTCTGTATTGTTAAGAAAGGTTTGGGTTACTCTATAGAGTTTCTGGAAAACTGGTTTTCCAGAAGACCGAATCTTTGAAGGGCTATGGGCAATCCCCATGGTCATACTCGGAATCAGCATGGTCGATAACCTATAACCCACTAGATTTCGATCAAAAAGCGATTTATCACCTCGCGAGGTTCCCTCGTAAATCTGGAAGGAAGCGGCATGGGCCCAAATCCTTTTAGGCTTTTTGTTACACTAATGTGCCCTATTGATCAGCAAAATATGAGCTTAAACAGAGTGGGACACCTGTCGAGGTTCTCTCGTTGGCGATAATAAATATGCTCATAGTACAAGTACAAAGTATTTGTTGAAGTACACGAGTACAAGTATAAGTACTTTTATTTTTACTTGTATACTTGTACTTGTCCATGCTCTGTTCTGTGATCAGAAGATTGGCATGTTAAAAGATTAATTTCTATCGATACTGACATCAACAATTTTCTAGCACAATTGTTTAACCTCTTTACTGTATTGTTTGTTTTTCTCTTTGGATTATTCATCGAATGTACTGAAACATTTTTGTTTGTAAATATTTTTTTTGGTGTTGCAGATTTTTGAGAAAGGTAGAATAAAAGAAAACATTTAAAATAAGACTTCAATGAGTAACATCTTCGAACGATCCTTTGTAGCACTTTCTAGATAGACGAAATTACTCGCTACAACCGTCACGATCTGTATTTTACCTTCCTCATGTTTTTTTCACTATGACTGACTCTTGTCCAGAAGAATAATATCGTTCATCACAACGGCATGAATGCCGCAAATTGATCTGTTATTTTTATAATAGTAGTTCTAAAAAAAACGTTCTAACTTCTTTTCACAACAAAGTTTACGTTCAAATAATGTTGATGGCCGCTGATGTATTCGTTCGTGATTTCATAAATAAGCATACTATGTAATTCATTTGTTTTACCTTTTTTTATCATATTGTCTCATCACCGTCTTGCCAGTTCGTATACTTGTTTTTCTTTCTCTTTTTGAATAGTAATACAATATTTGTGGGCTTATAGTTTTTATGAGATGATATTTGCATATTTTAGTTTCTGTTTATGTGAAAGTTTTAATTATATTTCAGATTTTAGTTAGATTTATAGCTATTATTCTTTCATTTCTTCATTTTTTTCCTTATTCATTCGTATATCGAATGGCATATCATTCATCTTTTCGTTGTATGCGTTCCACGTATCGTGGTATACGATTTCTGTTTACATTAGCTCGTATGCCAAAAGAAGATATACAGCTATTACAGTCGAAATCAATTCATTTGCTACCAAATAATTCATCACATTTAATACAACAAAAACTACAATTTCATACTACGCCGCAGTTGAAATCAATCAATATATTTCAAGTACAAGACGAAAATGATTTTCAAAAACAAATTCTTGATAGTAAAAAACCGTTTATTGTCGATTTTCATGCTACGTGGTAAGATAAAACATATTCTAAGCTTAATATTGACAAATACTGACGTTGTTTGTCTCATTTGAGGTGCAAACCGTGTAAAGTCCTTCAGCCTCGCTTAGAAAAAGCAATAGCCAGTTATAATAAAGATGTGAAAATCGATCAACAAGTAGCATTGTAAGCAGAATGTGATCTACTAAAATTTCTTTGACAATAAGTTTTTCGAAAAATTTTGACCACATTATAATAAGATCCATTCATGTTTTCTCTGTTGTGGAGACCTTTTCTGTGGCACTCTCGGGATGCTGATACCGTCAAAATCACTCCCATTGGTTGCCTATATTTCGATGAATGTTTTGTCAAAGAGTTTCCACATAATCAAATGATACTGAGTTTCATTTATTTTACAAGTTGAAATATTTTCTTATTTCTAGAGCTAAAATCGATATTGATAAGTGTGTTGAATTAAGTGCAAAATATGATGTACAAGTTGTTCCCACTGTATTAAGCATCAAAGATGGAAAAGTCATCGATCGTTTTTCGGGTGTCGTGGATGAAAATAAAATATTAAAAGTGCTCAATAAGTTAAATAAATAACTAATTTATTTGTGAATAATTTGTCTTTTTGTGCCTGTTAATGCTACGATTAAAGTCCTTTTTTTTAGTTTCTGAATATTAAAATGTAGAAGCTATTCATATTTAAAATCGAATAGTCGGATGTTCAGATGTTACGCAGATCGTCGACGATGGGTATTGTAACTGTACTTCTTGTCTTAGTGTAGATCTCATAAGAGCTGTATTTATTACCGACGCTGTCTTTTTTTTCACGATAACGGTAATCGTAATATATAAAATTATGTAAGCGAGACAAGAGAAAAACATTAGTCCAGTCGCTATAAGCTGAGCTTTCAAAATAGAAATACGTCGTCCTGATAATTGTAAACTGTTTTCTAGATACTCTAATGTCTGACTTAACCATGAATTACATAGTGAATTACTGAAATAACATTTGTCAGGATTTAAAAGGAATAATATATTGATTGTAAACAAAATAAGTGCAAATATAAGCGATATACATTGTTCAATTAATACATGTGTCGTGCAACCTCTTCTTCGGCAACAACAAACTAAAATAAAAATATTAGTAATGAAAAAGTAATAGGAATAATCACATATTTTTGCTAATAATCTTGATCGGAGGAAATATTTTAATAGTAGAAATTGAAATGAAAAATATTCTTACCGTTTGAAAACAAGGAAATCCATGTAATTGTAAATGGTATAGCGAACAAAAAACCAGCAAAAATGTTAGTCTTAACGATATTAATTACATTATGTGCAATCTCTAACGCGACGATGGTGAAAGTTAGTAATATTTGGCAGACGGAAAGTAACGTTGGTACACTGGTTGGAAATTTATTTTTCCATATTTGTTCTTTGACATTTGTTAATGACGTAAAAAGAACTGGTTGCAATTGTTCATGCATTTAAACTACACTGTAAGAAATTCAGAAGAATTATTTTTGTTTTTATTTTTGTGTTAGTTCTACAGAATGATTAAATCTCAGAAAGAAATAAAGTTCTTGTTGTACAATCGTCTATACACGAACATATCAAACTAGATTTTTAATCAATTGTTCTTGTTAAGCTCTTCATTCATAAAACTAACGAAAAAACTATTTGTGTAATTTAATATCTATAACTATTAAATTAGTTTCGTATTGTGTAAGCACTGCACGTTAGAATCAAGTCTTTTCAGTTTGTGGTACGCGCATTCAGTTTGCTCGATAAACAAAGTTCTTAAATTATGATTCGAATAATGTTCTTAATTAAAGTTAAGTTATCACTTGCACCCCAAAGATTTTTATGTTTGAATAGGACAGATTGTAATAAAAGAGCTATCGGATCGATAATTCAACGCACATAAACATGAGTAACTCACTCGAGACTAGTACATGATCAGTCCGCACAGAGGTTTAAAGACGGTACTTTTAAAGTATGTGATGAACAACCTTATCGTGAAAGCATGTTGCCTTGAGTACAAAAGACGTATAGACAACTTATGTTTATAAAGTGCGAACGAAACCAATGATGTGTCTAATTTAATAATTAATGCTATGTAGCTTAACAAGCAAAATTAATAGCGCTCACTTACCTCACCAATGCAGATTACTCCAATGCAGAAAAGAAAAACAAAATAGAACATCACAAAAAACTAAAAATCTGAGTGAACCGTCTCATTTTGATGAAAACAATAGAAAATTCGTTTAGTCCCAGATAAAAAAGGTAAGCAAGAAATTTTAGCTTATAAAATAACTCAAGCGCCCGCTTAAGAGTAGTCAAATAGCTAGCTGCCCCGAGCAAGCGCTCACTTGCTAGCTCCAGGCGAATGATCCAGTAGGCGCTTAATTGAGTGATTAGCGCATCAGCTAGCTTGGGCGAGTTAAAGATTGGGTCAACTAGCTGCAAATGCGCACTTCACGATTTTTTTAGTGCTAGGGATACCCCTCAGTTTTCATCTAAGCCAAAGATCATCTACTGAACTGAAAGATTATAGACATATTGAAGAATATACAAGACAGTTCGCACGAAATGAAATAAGGTGCTCAGCTGCAGAAGGATTTGGACGCAAAGTTTTGCTAACGCCGACGTGAACAGGATCAGATATGATGAAAATATTGCAATGATTTCAAACTAACAGTCATCTTATACAAATGGTAAGCAGTTTGAAGGAGAGCACTGATTACTTTACTATAAACTTATCTGGAAAGTTATGTATTCAAGTCCCTGTTGGTGCAAAATAGATCTCGGCTTTCTCGATAGTTTAAGTTTTAGAAGAAAACTCTGGAGTTTTCCACTTGTATTTTGAAGAATAAAGCTTAAATCTGATCATATCGAGTCATAGTTGTAAAGAAATTCTTCCGTTTTTCTCGGACAATGTATAGCGAAAATCTTCATGAGCACGAAATTCAATACCGAAATTTACTTGACAATACGGTATGGATTGAACAATATACTCAAGCTTCAAGAAGCAGACATAATTACATAAGAATAGCGACGAAATTTGTTGATTCGCGCTAATTCGTCAAGTCACTTCGATTATGTTTGTGAATGACCACAGCGGTAACGCCGGGTACAAATGTTCAGCAAGCACAACAATGACAATTAAATAAAAGTGATGATGATGAACTATGAAAAAATTATTATAAACATGATGCTAAAGAAACGTCATCAAAACAAAATCAAAGAACATACATAGATTTTTTGATGATGCAAAATTGATGAACAAACAATGAGAAAAAAAATGTTAACATGATGGTTAAAATCATGCATGCATTCTGAAAAATACATGTGATTAGACTGTAATACGTAGGTTATACTCTTAAAGAGTTAATCTAGCAAACCATTATCTTTTGGGTTCCATATCTGATCGACAAATATTTTTTTCTCTTATTAAATCAGTTTGTCAAGTCACACAATCGAAAAATACTGTATACGTTTATTGCTATAGTAAGTTCTATTGGTGTCAAAATTGTGTAGAACAAAATCAAAGAGCTTGCTAATATCAGAGATCTATCATTTGATTTGTGTGTCCCGTAGGTAGTGGAAAGTGATGACCACAAAGCATGAAGTAAGCCTCACTTATCTCGTTTATTCAACGGTCAAATAGCCAGTACCATCAACTTTGTCACGCTAATTAATAATTTATTATTTCTATTATCCCTATCGCTGTAGAAGGTTTCTGCTCCATAGTACAACTTTTTTTCATCAGCAGATGAGGGTGTTTTAGCATGAATAAAGACTTATTGAATTATATCAACCATATCACTGGGTAGCCCCTTCAATTCTCCATAAAATGAGATGCTGACCAAGTTTCTACTATATGGGACGACCGTGTTATCGACTTTTTAACATTATGAATCTAAATTCATTCGGTTTAATGCCGTTTCGATCTATCATATTTTCTATGCGACTTTTTGATACAACATCGTAGAAACTTGGTCAGCATCTCATTTTATGGAGAACTGAAGGAGCTATCCAATGATATGGTTGAAAACTTCTGAAAGAAACTTTAAAATCACCAGGTTTTCTAGAAAACCGGGTTTCTCAGAATCTCTATCTGAATCCCGAGGTTTAGTAAAACTTTTTTTTCATCGGAAAAAAAAAGAACTCGACACGCTCTTTCATTTGATACCAGCTTCAAGGTTCTACGTTGGGAAATGCGGTCAGCAGACGTTCCACAAGTTAGGCCAAATCCGTCGGAAAAATGACGAAAATGCATTTTTCCGCTGCGAGCGTAAAACGGCTATAACTTTTTTTCTAACAAGGCTAAAGACTTGCGATTTCCGCCATTCGGTTCAACTTGCTGAGCTCTATAATATGAGGTAGGTATCGTCACTGACGTCAAAGATGAAGATGGATGTAAAATTTACATCCTACCACCATTTACATTGTAAATGGTGGTAGGTTTTATATGCATTGAGCCTATCGTTGATGTCGAGCTTTTCACCCCTGATCGAACTTGCCGCTACAATATCTCTGGTCGGACAAAATATTTTTTGGCCCAATTTTTACCATAATAACTAACATATATGAAGATGTTTTGGGAAACTTTGGCGGATGCGGTATTTCAAATATTCGAGTTATCGAAATTTCAAGTTTTTTGAAATTTTTGAATTTTCTCATTTGGAGGCCATATTTTGTGTTTTCAATGAACAAGAGTTAAGTTTATTATGGATATCGAAAGATGATTTTGTGTAGAATTTGATGGGAAGTTTATTGGTGGAAACCGTTTTCCGTTGAGTTATAACATTATTAATCGAAATCACTCCACACTGGAGACTATATGAGAAAAGCTTGATTTTCCACCAAAGGACAAGCAATTTTAGAGAACCGACAACAGGTTCGGATGTGCCTAACAATCCTCTATCCAACCATAATATAATAGTTTGGTGTAAAGGAGGCAGATTTGCGGTCTTATCCGGCGAGATCCTTTACCCGTTTTAAATTCCTTAAGCAGCAGTTCTGTCAAGCAATATATATCGCACTTTATTTTTTACTGAGTTCACGCTTTGTTTTGACGCACATAGTTTGTGTTAGACTTTGTTCTATCAATATCTATTTGTTTTATCCATCCCTTTACGGCATGGAGATTAGCTTTGTTTGAGTAAGTGAGAACAAGTGAACAAGCAAAAACCCTTCTACCACTATACACCAGAGCTTCGTATGGATTCAACATTCTGAGTCCAGTCCGAGTTCATGAGCCGAGTTCAACAAATTTTCAGTGTAGTCCATACGGAGCTCTGCTACACACGGATCTTGATATAGACTGACACTGCAGGACAGTTAATTAACAAAATTTCTACTTGTAATCTGATACCTTAGACTGCTTCGCATACACGTTTGAGTTAGTATTCAAATCTGAACAACAAGTAGCAAGCACACATAGTACTTCCAGAGTCCAGAGAATCGGATTCTTTCTGATTTATCCCCATAGTATATCGGATCCGATGATAATTCAGTCATGATTCGTGGGAACACTCTAATCTTTTACTTACACCGACTATATTCTCATCTATAACTAACTACAAGACATC